AGTCTCCATGCCTATGTCCATCAAAACGTTCAGCTTTCAATTTAAATCTAACATTAAACTTGGCAATGCCAGGGGACAGCCTGTGATGGCTTCAAGGAGGTGACATCAATGGAAGCTCCAACGTGCTGGTATCAGCAGAATGTGACCATGGTTAAGAGAGAGCAAGATTCTGTGACAGAGCCTGGAAGAAACACTGGTGGATTCTGATGTCCCATTCTCCCAAGATTATCAACTTCACTACTCAGATCCTGGATTCACAAGTCTCATGAGGAGCAGCTGAAGGAATTGGGGTTAGTCTGAAGAAAAGGAGTTTCAGGGGAGACCTTCTGGCTCTCCACAGCTCCTGACAGGAGGCTGGAGCCAGGTGGGGGTCGGGCTCTGCTCCCAAGCAACAGCACAAGAGGAAACAGCCTCAAGTTGCACCAGGGCAGGTTGAGGTTGGCCCTGAGGAACAACAACTTCACTGAAAGACTTTTCAAGCCCTGGCCCCGGCTGCCCAGGGCAGTGGTTGGATCACCATCCCTGGATGTGTTCAGAAGTCATGTAGATGTGCTGCTGAGGGACATGGTTTAGCAGTGGACCTGGCAGAGTTAGGCTAATGGTTGGACTTGATGATCTTAAAGGTCTCCTCCAACTTAAATGATTCTACGGCTTCCATCTCCCAGAACAGATCATTCAAAGACACCCTCTTCTGATTCCTCACATTTTTACTACAGATCTGCAACTTTTCCATCCATTCCCACCCCTCCTTTCATTCTCACTTCTTCAAAGAACAAAAACTTTTTGTCTCGAAGACTGTCTTTGGTCTTGCCCTCTGACCCTGCCGTGAACTCCTCTGTGGTGCAAGACTCTCTTCGACACAACCAGCTGTCAAAAAAGAAACCTCTATGAATAATGCAAGTTTGTTTTTTTTTTTTTTCCTAATAACATCTGTGTTTATGCTTCAGGTTCTGGGGTACTCGGGGCTGTGCTGCCTTTTGGAATTTTTAACAAGAAAAAATAAGCTCCATCTCAGGAGGTTCTCCCAGCGACTAGAGCTTTAACATTAAATAAGAAAAAAATTCAAATGATCTCGTTCTCATTTACAATTTTCCTCGTTGCCAGGGTTTGCATATTCATTACCTCTCCAGGTCACTAGACACACGCTGCCTTTGACCTTGCTAAATGTCACAGAGCTCCCAGGATTTCGCTTTGCTGATCAAGCCATCAATTAATTCCAGGTATTTTTTCCTCCTTTGCTCCACTCGGATAAATTACCAAGAAAGCCATAATTGCCTGTGCAGGATGCTGGAATCGTTCTCTGTCTTCTTTCACTGAGGGTTTTATAGGATAGAGTTTGATTGTTTTACATAAAACTATTAAAAGAGCTTTCTGGAAAATTTCTGGTCTAAGAACTAAGGAGTTGGGACCTCTATCTATAGGTAAAGACAAGGAGAGGAGTAACAGTATCTGGGTTGCCTAAATAAGAATGAATTTATTCTTATTATAATAAGAAGAAGACTGAATCTTGAGGTTTAGGTTGTGCCTGTGCCATATGAGAGCAACCCTGGGAACAACCTGCAATGGAGTTCCTTTGAACAGATCGCCCCAGGATGGAGAAAGCAACCTCAGAAAGCAAACTAAACTGATAAATGCAAACAGGAGAAAGAGAAATTTTGAAGTTTTGAAGCTGTTAAGGTCATTTATTCATTCCCATACTCTAAAAAGACATGAAAAATGTCCCAAAAAAAGCAGCAAGAAAGTTCTAGCTCTCTTTTTCCCTGCCCTTTCTCCCACCACAAACAGCCTAAACCAAACCCAAATCCTACATAGAGAGGAAGAAGTTGTTCAAAAAGTCCTAAACCAAACATCCTAGGAATGTAGTTGGTTATATAAGACATAATAATTAACATATAATATTAATCAGCTTCTTCCACTCCAATCTTTAATCAGAACATAAAGGGGAGGGGGGAGGTGTATCTGTGATGTAAAGAATACAAATGTAAAATGTAAATACTCTTTCGCTTTAGCATTTCAACCTGCTTAAAACTAGATTTCAATGACCATTTAAAAATAAAGACACTTTCCCCATTCCATTACTCTCCTGCCCCATGAAGATTCCCTGACTCCCTCCTTTTCAATACATTTTCAGAGTGAATAATTTCTCAGGTGATTTGAAAGCCTGGAAGTTCTTACCCTCTGGGATTTCTACCTGCACTCCTGAAGGGACCCTTTAACTCTCCTGGCTCTGCCCAGCATGGAAAATCTTCTTCATTGAAGATCATCTTGAGCAACGAGCTGTTGTCATGGCCCCTGGCTCCATGAGGTGTGTTCCTCTGGAGCTCAAACTCCCTGTGGCCACCTCCAATCTCCAGCAGTGATCCTGGTCCTCCTCCCCATGCCCACCCCTTGCAGGGCCTCGTCCACCCAGCCTCAAAGAAGCCCCATCCATGGGCTCAGAGTCTGAATTCCCTGGGAAATCCCTGCAGGGATGAGCCATCCATACCCAGAAAAACCTTCTCACACCTCCTTGCCTCAATCTCCACGAGTTTTAAGCTCATTAATTCCCTTCTCTTTCAGATGGAGGCCACCTCGTTCTTTTCTTTTGCAAGCTTTTATTTCATTATTAATATAACATATAATATTTACATATCAATATTTCATCAGGCACATATTTAGTCACTGAATAGACATGGCAGTTTCTCTCAGCTGCCAAATTGCCTGTCTGAAGCATAAAAAGATCTTTTTTTTTCCCTCCATCCTGAGCTGCGAATCACAACCACATCCCCCACCAAAGCAGAGAGGACCCAGTTCTGAACCCTCCTGCTGATGGAAAACCTGAACAACTAATTTATGCCCCACTGATAGACCCCAGACTTGCAACGATGCACCTGAGATCATCACTCAGCCTCTTGTTTCTTCACTAATTAGCTCTGCTCTGTTCCAAATATAATCCCTGAAGAACGTTCTCCTTTGGTGTGATTTCATTAGTTGTTTAGAATTTATTACATTCTCTTAATGACACAGAGAAACCCAAACTCAGAGAACTCAGAGAGCATCACAACAGGATTGAGGCTCTGAGCGTGGTCACCACGCCGAATTCCCACTCCTCACACCTCTTGGTGTCCTCCTGAAGCTGGGCTGGGACACGCTGGCCTTAGGAGCACGTGTCTGACAGCCCTTCTCCTTTACAGGTGCCACCCTCTCAACTCAGAGCAAGGAAGCCATGTCCTAGAGACCTTCCTGGGCTCATGGTAGGAAGTTTCATGGCCAACAGGGTTTCTGAGGGGTTCCCCAAGGGCAGGCACAAACATCAGCAGGAGCTGGGGCTCTATATAGACAGTTTGGGTTGAAGGGACCTTTAAAAGTCACCTAGTGCAGCCCCCTGCCCTGAGCAGGGACATCTGCAGCTAGAGCAGGGTGCTCAGAGCCCCAGCCAACCTCACCTGGGATGGTTCCAGGGATGGGGCAGCGACCACCTCTCTGGGCAGCCTGGGCCAGGGGCTCACCACCCTCAACATCCAAAATTTCTTCCTTCTCTCTAGTCTAAATCTCCCTCTTTTAGTTTCAAACCATCCCTGTCCAACCTCAACCTCAACCTCCCCTGACCAGCTTGCAGCCCTTTCCTCTTGTCCTGTCCCTTGTTCCTTGGGAGCAGAGCCCGACCCCCCCCCGGCTCCAGGCTCCTGTCAGGAGCTGTGCAGAGCCAGAAGGTCTCCCCTGAGCCTCCTTTGCTCCAGGCTCAGCACCACCAGCTCCCTCAGCTGCTCCTCCCCACACTTGGGCTCTGGACCTGTCACCCCAGCCTCATTGCCCTTCTCTGGCCACACTCCAGCCCCTCAAGGTCCTTCTTGTATCTGAGGTGCAGCCTCACCAGGGCTGAATGCAGAGGATCATTTAAGAACTGAGCCATCTTCTGCAATCTCTGGAGGTGGACCCAAGGACACTACTTTAGATAAATCCATGCAGGTGGAATGAAGCTACAACCAGGAGAATCCTGAGCAAGAAGGCTCCAGTTTGCCAGCAGCCTTGACTCTTAGGAGGCTCTTGGTGCCATCAACCCACATGGCTGGGACAGCAGCGTGCTTAGATAAAAAGCTGTGCTGGCAGCCCAGGACACAGCTCTGGTGGAAGTGCTGCAGATACCACAACATCTAATCAGCTGCATAAATAATTTGTTACACAACAGACCCTGACAAAAACAAATCACTTGATTATTAGTAACGACTACGTCTATGGCAGCAGCTTCTCCCTGGAGGCCCCAAAAGAGGTCAGTTGTGCTGAGCACTCTTCAAAAGCAAAATCTGCCATAATATTGGGACATCTGAAACCAGAATAAAGGAGGGCTGCACAAGTCACTTCAGAAACAGTGGAAATAAGCACCCACAGCAGGACAGGCCCAGGACGAGCCATTTGGTGACCATCACCAGATACACAGCAACAAAAACCAGCTCATGATTTCCCAGACACCAAATCAAACCAGACTTTTCATTTCCCAATAAAAAATGCTGAGCAATTCCAATAAATATTCCCAATTATTTCCAAAAATCCCCAAATATTTCCAATATTCCCTTCCCAGGCGTGCTGCTGAAGGTTGGCATCCAGAGCTGGGCTGTGCAGACCAGCAGGAACATCACCTGAGATGGAACAGCTCTCATCTTTTTTTTTTTACATTTTTCTTCTTGTTTTACATAATACCAAGAAATGAGATCAGTGTCTGATCTGCATTTACAGAATTCTGTTCTCCTATGCCATGTGCTCCTCACCATGTCAAGAAATTTAAAGCCAGGCATTGGGAAAATGATGATTGCCTCCATTTATTATATATTTTTTTAATATAAATGGGACTCCTCTGTCATTTTTCCTTCTACATTTCCATTAAAACGAGGGGGCTGGAGAGCCAAACAACACAGCACCAGAAACATCACCACCACAAGTCTTTTGCCTGTGTGTATCCAGGAGAAAAACGAATCCACCTTGTTTTCTCAGAAGAACCCAAGGGAAGGAGAAAGTCTACTCACACTGCACGATGAGCTGCACCAGAGCTTCTCTGGGTTTGACGTTGAAGCCGTTGTACTGGCTGGTCTGGCAGCGGTAGGTCCCTGTCATCTCCCTGGAGACGTTGACGATCCTCAAGATCCCGTCGTAGCTCTCGGTCTGCATCGCCCCATCCGGCATGGCCACCTCCTTGTCTGCTCGGGACCAGAGGATGATGGGCTTGGGCTTCCCGGTCACCTGGCACTGCAGCTCGATCGTGTCCCCTTCCCGCGTCACCAGCGGTGACTTCTCTTGAGGAACAGTCAGATTGGGTGGGACTTGGAAAGAGAAAAAGAGGTGGTTCGACTATTAGTGCTACAGAGAATCATGGAAACCTTCCAGTGGGAAAAGACCTTGAAGATCATCCAGTCCAACCATAATTCCCCCAGCCCTGCCAGGTCCCCACTGCCCCGTGTCCCTCACACCACATCTCCACGGCTTGGAAACCCCTCCCGGGGTAGGGACTCTCTGAGGCTTCTCTTCTCCAGCTGAACAGCCCCAGGGCTCTCGGCCTGTCCTGGCACAGAGATGCTCCAGGCCCCTCAGCACCCCCACACCCTCCACTGGCCTCTCTCCAGCAGTTCCTTCTCTCTCTTGACCTGGAGAGGCCAGAACTGGCCACAATCCTCCAGAACTGACCTCACCAGGGCAGAGTAGAGGGGAGGAGAAGTCGCATGTGTCTTCTGGGGGCATTTGGGAGAAAGGAGAGGGAATGGCAGTGGACATGTCATAAGATGCATGCCAAAAAAAGTCACGTGCAACTGTGAGCAAGTCCTTGAACCTCTCTGACTCAGTTTCCATCCCGAAAAATAGAGATAACAGTGCTGCAAACACTCCGCTCAGCCACGAGCAGGACCATGGGCAGGAGGTCTGCCACTCCCACTGGATCTCCACTGGCTCATGAGGCAGAAGGACCACACCGAGTCTCTGCTCAGGGAGGATTTTCCCTTTCTACACTCCCAGATTTGTTTCCACAGGTCATTAATTATCTCTGAGGTGTCTGTTCTGCTGTCAAATCGGGCTTAAATTAGCTACAGGGTCAACAACTCTTAGGAGGAGTGTGGGACTGTGACACACCAACTGACAGGCACTGGCAGCCTCATCACATAGGACTTGTTTTCATCAACAATAAAGGGGGGAAAAAAAGCCACCAAAGAAACTCAGATCAATGTGATGGTGACAAAGAAATGGGGGGATGGGTGGTGCCAAGGGGAGAGATAAGGAATGGAGCAGAAAAGAACCATTCCAGGTTGTTCTTCTACAGCCCGAGATGTAGGGGAGCTCCAGGACCAGGTGGCTGAGATGGTTGTGGAGGAGAGCTTGGAAGTCCGCCTGAGCAGGGGTGTAGAAAGGTGGAATCATCACACCATTTAGGTTGGAAAAGACCCTTAACATCATCGGGTCCAACCCTAGACTGAATGCTGCCAAGTCCACCACTGAACCACAGAATCAGAATTAAATCAGTAAAGACTTTTAAGATCATCTAGTCCAACCACCCCCCCAGCACTGCCAGGTCCCCACTACCCCGTGTCCCTCACACCACATCTCCACGGCTTGGAAACCCCTCCAGGGGTGGGGACTCCACCACTGCCCTGGGCAGCCTGGCACAGCCCTGGGCAACCTCTCAGTGAAGAAGTTGTTCCTAATATCCAAATTAAACCTCCACTGGCACATCTTGAAGCTCTTTCCTCTTGTCCTGTCGCTTGGGGCTCCTTCCGACGCCCACCCAGCTCCAGGCTCCTGTCAGGAGCTGTGCAGAGCCAGAAGGTCTCCCCTGAGCCTCTTTTGCTCCAGGCTCAGCACCCCCAGCTCCCTCAGCTGCTCCTCACCACACTTGGGCTCTAGACCCTTCATCACCAGCTTCGTTGCCCTTCTTTGGACTTTGAACATACATACTAAAAACATCTAAAAATATCTCGAGGTATAAGAACTGATTTTGGAATTATTTTACTGTCTAAGCAGATCTGTTGTCCAAGGCCCCACCAGGGGTTGCCTCTGAATGATCACTCTGGACAGTGCTTAAGGTTTACAAACATCTTAATTGGGCCACTAATTATCTCACAAAATCCATTTCTTTCATTATACAGAGACAGTGCTATGATTTCAATAAACATTTAGTACCAAAATTAAGGTCTCTTTAATGCATCTTCAAAGGAGGAACAAGATGACCAGAGGGGACACACTTCCCAAACAGACCAAGGCCACGTGTCCTAACACATCAGCCTGGATGCTTAATTAACTCATTATTTAACAGAGAGCTGATTAGTCTAACAAGGAAGCCCACTTAGCACAGGGAGGACACACAGAGTTCTGCAGGAGCCAGGATGTGGCTGATTTGCGAGGTGGAACAGGAGACCGGGTGGCCACCAGCCCGCCCTGTGCTCATGCCCAAAGTCCATGTTGCCCTCTGGGATGTGTCTATCCCAGGGTACCACGGGCTCAGCACATCTTAATGGTCACCCTCGATGATCTTGGAGGTCTTTGCCAACCTAAATGATTCACCTATGGAGAAAGAATCTGCTTGATCTCTTTGCCACGTAGGACATCTGGTTGTGCCCATACTGGGCGGAGACAGCAGGAAGGGCTCTCAGGAAGAGAAGGGTCTCCACCAGCTCCAACCCAAGAGTTCAAGCCATCCATCAGCCCTTCCAGCAGCAGCTCAGAGCAGCACAGCCAGGGAATGAAGTAAAACAACCCCCCAAAACAACTACTCCCTGCCCAGCTCTGCCTCTGGGGGGAAGATGAAGAGAGGCTGAGCCAGAAGTGACACATGTTCCTTCCCTTACCGTACTGACACTGATTTTGGGGGGGTAAGACAGCACAGGAGCCCTCTCCTGACCCACCTCTCCTTCTGCTTACCATGAGCTTGTTCTCCTGGGAGGAGTTTGCTGCTGTTTTCAGATCTCCTGCCTTTGGACTCCCCACAGATGTGCAGGAGGAGCCATCCTGTCTCCCAGTAACGTTTGCCCAGGGTTGGTTTTATGGATGACAGAGCTTTCACAGGGCAAACGTTCAACCTTTGAGTCTTCATCTCCACTGTTCAGTGACCTACTTTATGGAGATGGGTTGGAGGGGGGTGAAGGGGAGGCTGCTCAGGGATTACTTCAGGTCCATTTACGTAAGACTCTCAGAACATTAATCCATCCCTTTCCTGTGGAAAGTACTAAACGTCAGGGCAAAAAATCCTTCTGCTAAATGAGCACAACGCTGAGCCTACCAACGTCCACTGGCACTGCCACGTGTCCCTCTGCGAGCTGCTGGAGGGACAGAGGAGATCTGACCACCTCCCTCCTGCCCTAGGAGGTGACAGAGGAGATCTGACCACCTCCCTCCTGCCCTAGGAGGTGACAGAGGAGATCCGACCACCTTCTTCCTGCCCCAGGAGGTGACAGAGGAGATCTGACCACCTCCCTCCTGCCCTAGGAGGTGACAGAGGAGATCTGACCACCTCCCTTCCTTCCCTAGGAGGTGACAGAGGAGATCCGACCACCTTCTTCCTGCCCCAGGAGGTGACAGAGGAGATCTGACCACCTCCCTCCTGCCCTAGGAGGTGACAGAGGAGATCCGACCACCTTCTTCCTGCCCCAGGAGGTGACAGAGGAGATCTGACCACCTCCCTCCTGCCCTAGGAGGTGACAGGAGATCCAACCACCTCCCTCCTGCCCCAGGAGGTAACATCCCCTCCTTGCCAAGCCCCTCGCTTGGCACCTCCAGGAGGAACCTCCAAGAAAGGAGAACTCTCCCCCAAACCAGCAAACAGTCCCACAGCTCAATATCAACCCACCCGTGCAAGTCCTGGCCAGTGGAAACCACATCAGTGCCTGGGCCTTGTGTTCATCATTCCCCCAGCAGTAATGAGTCTTGATGAATCAGTAACGACCTTCAGAGCACACGGAAACCACTTCAGCCTCCACCTCATTGGGTGAGGAAGCCACCCAACCAGGCAGCTTTTTTTTTGAAGATGCTAAATAAGGCCAATCCCAATCACTGTTTTTTCTTCTCCCTTTCTGATTTTCTCAAGTTTTACAGGACAGTAAATTTAAAGAGCTGATGGAACTCGTCATTGCTTGCAGAAATTGTGGTGAGCTTCTAGGTACAGGCATCTAACAGAGGCTTCCAATGAATCCCAGCCAGTGCCCAAATCCTTCCCCAGCAAGTCAAGTCCTAAAGAAAGGCCAAAGGCTTTTCATAGAAGCAGGAACTTTTCTGACAGTAAAAGAGGACACATGTGGGTACATCAGCCATGAGGATGTTCTTGGGAGAGGCCACCACGTGCCACACCTTCAGGTTTCAGTCAAAGCAACTCAGCTCCTGGTCTAGGGTCTGCATGGAGGTATAAAGGATTTTTTGCTACTGAGGGTGGTGAGCCCCTGGCCCAGGCTGCCCAGAGAGGTGGTCGCTGCCCCATCCCTGGAACCATCCCAGGTGAGGTTGGCCGGGGCTCTGAGCAACCTGTTCTAGCTGCAGATGTCCCTGCTCAGGGCAGGGGGTTGGACTGGGTGACCTTGAAAGGTCCCTTCCCACCCAAACCATTCGATGACACCTCACCTTGTGGTGAGGAGTGCCCTGTGCATAAACCCCAATGTTCTCTGAGTGCAGGAAAGCCACAACTTGGCTCCACTGACCCCAGAGAGAGCCTCCTTACCCGTGCTGCTGGAGATGTTGACATCAATGCTGATATCTGATATCCCACCACCCTTCAGAGACGCAACACACGTGTAGGTCCCAAAGTCAGTGAACTTCAGGTCGATGATGTCCAGGTTGGTGGTGCCAGGGGAGACGTCGGGGTCAGTCTGGGTGATCACCATCCTCTCTGAGCTTCTCAATGGACGCCCGTTCTTAAACCAGCTGAAGGTCAGCTCTTCAGAAGGGATGGCCTCCACCTGGCAGGAGATCTTCACCTCTCGCCCAATCTGGATGTTGTCGTCTTTGTGATAGGGGTCAGGGGTGATCCAAAAACGTCCCTTTTTTAAGGCTGAAATATGTAGAAAAAAAAGGAAGTTTTCTATAATAAAGCACAAATTTTGCAAGTTCAGACTTTGCAGAGACTTCTGCTCAGACTTCACTTTATGCTTACGTTTGATTTTAGCAGGACCTGATGTGACAGGACAAGGGGAGATGGTCTGAAACTAAAAGAGGGAGATTTAGACTAGAGAGGAGGGAGAAATTTTGCTGAGGGTGATGAGCCCCTGGCCCAGGCTGCCCAGAGAGGTGGTCGCTGCCCCATCCCTGGAACCATTCCAGGTGAGGTTGGCCAGGGCTCTGAGCACCCTGCTCTAGCTGCAGATGTCCCTGTCCCTGCAGGGGGTTGGATGAGATGACCTTGAACGGCTCCTTCCCACCCACACCATTCTGTGACTCTATGATTCTTGGGAAGCCACTGAAGCTTCCAACCCACACATTTAGGACATGCTTAATTTTTCGTAGGCTCAAACCTCATCCCAGAGTGCACATGGCTAAAACACTTGTCATTTCCAAACTGCAAAACAGGAACTCACAGCACCTAAATCAGGCTGAGCTGCTAACAACTGAAGAGCAATCGAAATAATTCATGAGCCTTCAGGGTTTGTGATCCATCTCTGGAGGGATCTCCAAGCCCTTCCTCACCCCCACGTTATCAGAGCAGTGAGAGGAGAGAAAACAGAGACATCAACCTGACATCACTAACACCACCAGTAGTGTCATCTCCAATCTATCTGGGGAGAGAGGCAGCCATGCAAAATTTCTTAGTGCCAGCTGCTTAGATGAGAAGAGGTGAGGACCTGCCTGAGGCTCCAGCCTGCCCTGGTTTGCATCCCCTCTGCACTTTAGGTGGGGAAACTCCTGCCAGCTCTACAAGGTAAATGGGCTGAGAGTCCATCTCTAGGCAACACTCAATGGGAAAAGGCCAAAAGATGTTCTTCTGAGATGGAACCACACAGGAGAGCCCATCGTGAGCACCTTGGCTGCACTGTCCTGGCTGGGACTTGTCAGATGAGGAAAGCCCATCCCAGACTCACAGGAGAAACCTGAGGCTGAAGGTTGCACGCAGAACTGAGAGAAGAACAGTGCCATTTAGAGAGGCACAGAGTGTCCCCAAAATCTCCAGAATCTCTGCAACCAGAGTCGCTCAAGCCTGCAATGCAAATTCAACTCATCCTCCAACCCACAGATGAGGAAGTCTCCATATTTCCGATGGGAACCCCAAGGCAGAGGAGGTTTTTGAGGCCACCTCAAAGGCAGGTTCAGTGCTCAGGAGCACCCCACACCCACGCAGGGCCACAGCAAGACAGGAAAACATCATTTCCCACCCTCTTCCCACCTAGACCAGCATCTTTGACTGGCATTCCCTCATCCATCTGCTGTGCAAAAGCAACAGAACGCTGCGACTCACTTATCTGATTTATCTTGTCACTCTTTAAATTAGCATAAAACCATCCAGAGCCTATCACCATTTACATCAATAAAGTGATTGCTCTAATGGTGCCTTGGTAGGACACTTATTTTTGGAAGACTGCTTCAGAATCAGCCATTAAGTCTTTCAAATACACATCTGTTTGGATGTCCCAAACATAAAATGCTACTTGTACCATCCCAAGATCCCTCTCTCTGCCTACAAACATCTGCGTGGGTAGGGATGTGTCTTTATTTATGCTGTCTCCAACCAGAAAGTCCTACAGTGAAGACACCAGGTAGGAATGTTACCAGCAGAGACCCAGGGGGAATGCAAATGCTGAAGGACAAGTATTTAAATCCCACATTTCTCCTCATAGTGC